CTTTTGTGATGCAGTTGTTGATCTGGCGGACCATCGCATACGGCAGTTCGCAGTGGAACGTCTGGGTGATCGAGCCGTCGTCCTGGATTTCGTTGAGCAAGACGAGGTACTGGTCGCCTTGGAGGAGCGCCACGGGGATCGACCGACCGGGCGGCTTCTCGGCGAGGCGTGGCGGGCACTCGAGCAGCACGTCCGAGAGGCGGAGCTTGCACCAGCCAGTCACGTCATCCCGCACGACCCGCGTGTAGGCAAACGCGTTGAGGTACACGTGCAGCGTCGACACGAGGAGGTAGTCGGCCGGCAGCGTCGCAACCGCAACGCTCTCGGGTACCGTGCGGATGTTGCGATACACGAGCGTCGGCGACGGTACGCGGAAGATCAAGCGCCGCGTTGTGCACTCGTAGCGCGTCAAATGGCGCAGTGGCAGCCACCCAACCGAGTTGTCGAGTCGTAAATACGTCAGGTTGCTCACGGGATCATGCACGCGCAAGTCGGTCGCGACGAGCTCATCACGCCGAAGCATCATTTGGCGCACAAGCGCCGAGTCGCTGTGGGTTGTTGGCCGCGCATAGAACGGCGACGGCTGGTCGGCCATGTACACGGCAACCTCGTTCGTCACTGGCACGCGTTCAACGAGGCGCGCGTGGGGCGACTGTTCGGCCAGCTCGGCGACGTAGCCGTTGCGCAACTCGACGTCGTTGTGGGCCCCGAGCTGCAGAAAAACGTAGCCGGTCGTGTTACCAAACATGGTGCTGTAGAGCCGCTTGGTCACAACAAAGAGCTCGCCGGCCGGTAGCTCGAGGGCGGTGCCATGCGCGCTCGAGACGCGGTGGCCAAACGACGGCTGCGAGTAGATGGCCAGCGTCACGCTTGCGCGGTAGACGTAGTAGCCGACCTGCGGTAGCGCTTCGATCCGCGGCAAGTCGACGGGCGCGAGCGCCAACGTTGGCGGCACGACGACTGCAAGCCGCAAGGGTGATCGCAGCGACCCAGCCGGCGAGCCTGGCAGAACGTTGTGTTTGGTGCAGTACTCGCCAATCGATCGCTTGAGCGCGAGGTTTGGGATGAGCTGGGTCGAGCGCAGCGGTAAGTTGGTCACGGGGCTCGTCACTTGGCCGCCGGGCGCCGTCTCGCGACTCGAGCGGATCCACTCTTCGATGGCCGACCGCTCGTACGAGTGGCCGTCGGCGGTCACGACCGGGTCAACCATGACGTCGTGCGTGATCGGACACACGAACGAGTCGAGGTGGCGGGTCATGCTGCGGCTGCTCTGTGCTTTCCTGCAGGCTGTCCACCCACCATATGATTTGTTTAAAACAGGGAATAAAACACAAAATGCTCATATTTGAAGAGCTTTATTTGTAAGGTTGGATGGCGTGTTTCATACAGTGTATTTTTGCATCTTCTCTGTGACGTGGCAGCCTGCCACGCCTCGACCGTCTGCAAAGGTCGCGCTCAAAACATCATGTCTGGAGGCATTGCCAGAAAATGATGAGGCGCGAAGCAGAGACCGCTGGACGACCGAGCGTCCAACCGATTCGACGTCACAGGTCTAGCTTGAGAGAGGAATACACATGCAGAGCTTACGTACAAGGAACAATGCGCATTCGTTTCTAAAGAAACAACTTGACCGAGCAGACACGACGCGCTTGCTCACAGTGGCGCTTACACAAGCCTAAGGAAGCGCTTGGTAGCGCTGGATGAGTCGGCGGCGGTTGTCGCGGACGTCGAGGTGGCGGTCGTAAAACGTATCGAGAGCCACGAGCATGTCATCGGGAACATCTACCGTCGCCTTGGTCCCATGCTCGTAGATGGCCAAAGTAGTCGCCGGCCCATTTTGAAGCTATAAATCTCGTTCGTGAGGCTGGATCGACGTTGTACCTCTACCTGAAACAAGCGAATCGTAGCCGCGCGGTGGCGTGACCGACAAAATGCCGTTTATGAACCAGGAGGCAATGTTGTCGGCGTCGAC